GCACAAAGACGCAGCTCATGAAGTGCAACGTCACTGGCACCTGCGAGCGCAGCACCATGCGCCAATGAGGGAAAGGCGCCCGTGCGTCACAGTGCGGTAGAGACCTTGCCAACTGCCGCCTTCAGCATGGAGAAGCGAGCTTTGCGCTGGCGCAGGCGCTTCATACGTGGCTTCTCCATGCCTCTGATGATCCTGGGCCCCATAAGCTCGTGACCTAGGTTCCTCATGTGCCCTCTGTACGGGATCTTCATGGAGCCCGCGTGGACCTGCATCCCTTTCCAGAACTTCCTAGAACCAGCAACAGCCCAAGACTTTGACGCCTTCAGAATCACGCTAGGACCCTTCGAGTCCTGGATGAAATTCCTAGCTGCAAATGCGAGAGACCTGGCCTCCCTGGGGTCCTCGGAGACACTCTGGAGCCGTATTCGCCCATGAGCGTTCTCGGGGATATGGTAGGAGACACTGTGGCGACCCTCTGGACAGACCTATAGGTGAGCAAATACAGCATGCACGTGGCATGTGCACACCCAGCCAGGATTCCTTGAATCGGCCGATACGCCGTGGAGACACTCCCACATTCTTTGATCCTTCGGGGCTGTTGGTAGCTCTGAAGAAGTAGCCACAGCAATCGCATCGGACAGCCCGACGCTTGTCCCTCACGGAGCAGTGCATGAGGGTCCACCATACCATAGCATTTGCTCATGCCCAGTAGAATGGTACACGCGTGTTCTCCCAGCAACCACGCACCCTCCTGCTGAATGTTACGATCGAAAGCCGAGTCGCTGGACGTGTGGCCTGCTCTTGTGCCCCACATCTGGTCGCACTGGTAGCTGGCCTGCCGCTCAGCCGAGACTGGCCGCCTGAGCTTGCCCCAAAGTCTGATCATCGAATGGGAGAACACGATGAGCCGGGTATCTCCATCAGGCTTGGGAAGCCGCACCATCTCGCTATAGACACGCTCTAGGGGCCAGGACAGCCACTTCTCAAAAAGCACGCGCATCCTGGCGATGCGCTCCAGCGCCAGGTCCGAAAGAGAATCCAGGAACCTGGGTGAGATGCGGCTCGGCACCGAATCCGCACGCGTAGAAAAATGTACGAATCGCCTCCCGTACCTGGCGGTGCTCTAGCACGGGCAGATCAGGCCAGCACCCATGGCCAGGGGGCAAAACAACAGGCTGCAACTCGTGATGTCGCCATACCTGCTCCCACGAGGCCAAGGTGAGATTGGCCAGCAGGTACGGCTGGGCGCCCACCTCGCAATTTATCTGCTCCTGTCTGCTCCTCACCTCGGAGGCCGAGTGCGCCTGACTGGCGCCGCCCAGGAGAGCAATCTTCGCCCAGTTCCGCCAGGCTTGCTCGGACTCGGACTTGGGGGGGGGGGGTCGACACTAAGCCGGCCTTGGCGATAATGTTATCCAAGCCCGAGTCGGAACCTGCGCCTACAATCATGCTGAGGCCTCTCCTCAGAAATTCCAAGGCCTCGTCGTCCAGACGGTGGCAGGTCCTCTTGTCCGCGATGATCCTGCGTCAGCACCTGTCCACTTCATAGCAAGCCTTAAACGCCTTGGTACACTGCAGCGGTGTCAGCTGGCAAACAACAGACGCCGACTGCTTTCGCTGACAGAAGCGTCCAAGGCGATCACGTTCCGACCTGAGGTGCGGCAACCATGTGCGCGCTGTGGCCCAATCATGGCCCTTGGGCCACCGATGCCTGCGTCGCCTCGGGGTTCCCATGCCAGCAACTTCTATCTGAACTGAGGAGCCCCTGACCTCCCCGCGAAAGGGATGGCGTCCTCGCCAACTTTGCCGTCACGGCCCGGCAACTCCACATCCGCTCCGTCCAGCGCCGTGCCCCGCCCTCGAGCAAGGTCTGGCACGCTCTGAACGTCGTCAAACACATGGTCGACCTGTGCCCATGGGCAAGGGAAACGAGCACAAACGCAGGGGGGGCACCGCTGGTAGCGCCCGAGGTTCATCTGGAACAAGGCACCATGCTGGCCCGTCGCTCCCACGTATATTGATGCTGACAGGGTAACGAGATGAGGAATGGTGCCGAACGTCTCAAGTACCTCCGCCCCTCCGAGCCTCGCCGACAAGCTCGCACAAACGATGACGTAGTCTATCTTCGAGTTGCCTTCGTCGGTGCAGCACGTGGCCGACCGAGGAGCGCACGGTGGCCCCGCGAGTGACTCGATCCATTTCCTGGCACTGGGCGCTGGGATGTCAGCATCCCAGTCGCCCTCCAGTATCCAATCATGGCCCGGGGCATTCCAAGCAGCGACTCGCTGAGCGATGACCCACAGGATGGAAAGGGTCTCGCTCGCGACGCCGGTGCTCATCACCAGGTGCGCGCTGACCACAATCACCCCACCTGGCACTCCCTAGTTGACGAAGCTGGCGACCACTCGGCCTGGATAGAAAATGGGGTCTCCATCAGGCGGTCTCGTGATCATGACGCTGGCGGGAACCAGAACGGCGACCCGGCAGTGATTTGCCAGTGGCCCCGTAGCAAACGTGGCAAGCGCAGGAGCCCACACCCCGCGGTTGCCGATGTCCTTGGCGCGATGCTGAAACTCGCCGAGGCGGGCCTCCATGGCCCGCGTCTCCTGCGCACAAGCGATATTGGCCTTCACCGCCGCCAGGTAGTCGAACGTGGGACCGAACGAACTGGCATTGACCGTCGCAATGGTGCCTGCTATGGCAGGAGGAGGAGATTTGCCCACGGCCCCCGTCTTGGGCATATCACAACTGGCGCTCACGCTACCGCGCCCGGGATCTGCATGTTCACCCGCGGGTGCCGAGGGAGAAAGTGGCGACGGCGCTGCACCATCTGAAACTGAGGCCGATCTCGAGGCCGCCGGAAAAACGGCAACGCTGAACCTGGACGCAATCGCGCCAGAATTTTGTGAAATAGCATAACCACCATCCATCTGAGAAGCAGGGGCCGCGCTCTGTGACGTACACATTGCACGGGGTTCCGCCTCAGAGCTCTGCTCGGCCAGCCGAGTGAACGATGCTGAGGGTAGCCGACGCGTGCCAATAGAATTATCTCCCCCAAACACACTTGCCACTGATGCTGTAGCCGCCCTCGTTGACGCGGAAGCTGCAACCCTGCTTCCAAAGGGCTCATCTTGATCTAAGGTCATGGGTACTGACATGCCAAAACGACAGCCGATGAGAAGAAACATCTTACTTAGTAGTACAGGCCCTCTTGCAAGCCTCGACGTAGGATATCTGGAACGCTTGAACCGTTCTTTGACACCTTCCTCCGACTTTGCGGCGTCCACCTGATCCCCGCAGCGCCAAGGGTCGCGCGCATGTGAGCCTCCCCCATGTCCAGGTCAGGAGGCTCGTCGGCTGCGGCTCCCTGTGGAACTCCGTCTGGTGGCGCCTGCTGCTGAGGAGGTGGCGGAGGCTGTGCCTGTGGTGTTGCTTGGAGTTTTTGACCGTCTCTGCCATGGATTGAAGCCCAGCAGTGAGATCAGCACCCAAGCATAAAGAGCCAGCCGCCCGACCCAGCTGCTCGACAGACACCTCGAAACCAGGAAACATCTCGTGGAGGGAGGGCCGCTTGGACGCGCCTGGTGGGCGCACCTGCGACATAGCCATGCGAGTCCTGCGCCCAGCTTCTTCTGCGTGAGCACAAGGTGGTCCTGCAGCTGCTGAATCTGGGCACGTTGCTCCTCGACCGCCTCGCGCATGCTGGATTCGCGCGCGCACGGGCCTGCTGAAGATTGGACGCCAGCGAACGAGCTTGATTCTCGAACGGGCGGCCGTCAAACAACTCTCGCTGCAGGCCCTCCTTCTCTGCTTTGAAAGTGGCGAGCACCTCTGCGTCGCGCTGTGCTGACAACGCACGCATGATGCCTTCCAATTCCTTGATGCGCTTGCGCTTGCCTTCCACTCCATGAGCATCGCTACCAGCTGAGCCGGGGTCAACATCAACAGCAGGAGCAGGCTGACGCATGCGGCGTAGCTCTGCTTGAAGCTCCGCCACCTGCTTGGCCAGGTCTTTCAGCTTGGAAGTGGCCGGCGGCACACCTGCGGTTGGCTCCTTGGGGCCGCCGTAGCAGACGGCGTTGTGAAATTTGTACAGCTTGCACGTGAACGCGTCCGCTGTGTTGAACCACTGCTTGCCATCTCTCGGCTTGACGCACGTCTTGCACACCCAAGCATGCCCGTTTTGCCCGCGGGTCGGTGCCATGGGCCCGACGTGGCTGCTATGGACAAGAGCTGCTCCGACAGGAGCTCACACAAAGCGAAAACAAAAGGCTCGTAACAGCAAGTAGCCGTTGCGAAGGTTTGCTGTCACAACACTCACCTGAGCGCAAAACGGCTGAGAGGGAGGGGGTGGGGGAGGGGGAGGGGGAGGGGGAGGAGGGGGAGGGGGAAGGGGAGGAGGAAGAGGAGGGGGAGGCCCCCAGGCCCCTCCCGAAGGCCCCAGATCACGGGCTCCCCGAGCTGCGCCCGGCCGTGGCGACGAGGGGCCCCCCCGAGCAGGCCGGCGGCCGTGGTCCCAGCTCGCCCTCCACTGAGCTCGGCGGCAGGGGTTGAGCAGGGACCGACCGTACCGGCATTTCTACAGTCCTACCACGAAACGTTCGTAGAACCCAGAAGTGTTCCGAGAACAAGAACCATTTTCTCAGAACGTGAGCCCGATCTGTGAAAGCAAGGCAGTCCCAGCAAGACATGCCCTGAGAACAGTTCGCAGAAACCACAAAAGGCTCTTAGAACATTCTTTGGAAGGCCTACAGGCACGCCAGGACGCTTCGCCACTGCTTGAGGATCGGGAGCGGCCAAGAGGGGGGTGTCCAAGAGGGGGGGGTGCAAATCATGACGGGCGGCATGTGCGCGGCCCAGCGGGGGGGCCAGGGACGTAATGAAATAAGAAGAGGCGCCATGAAATCTGAGGAAAAATCATGGCCCGCGCCATGAAATCCACCCCCTCCTAGCCATCACCCCCCTCTTTTCCGCTCCCGAAACTTGAGGAGGGGGGCTGCCTCGCCGTCGGAGGCTCTCAGCACGGGCGGCGCGCCCATCAGCTGGGCGTACGCGGACCTGGCACGGCCCCGCGGCGGCACGTCGACGGCGGCGGCGCCGACAGCGGTCGGCAGGCCGCGGGCGGCGACGATGACCACACCGACGACGTCGAAGCCGACGCCCACGACGCCGCCGACGTCGGCGACGACGCCGACGACAACGTTGACAACGACGACGCCGACGTCGACGCCGTCGACGACGCCGATGTCGACGCCGCAGCGGCGGACCTGGCGGCGCCCATGAGGCCCCGGCGCGCAGCTGGCCCCAGGGCCGCGAAGCCGGGACCGCGCGCGCAGAGGCAGGCCACCTTCTTGGGCGGTCCACACCCTCCCTGCTCCGGCTACGACTCTGCGAAGGGCCGGGCCACGACGTGGGGCGCTCCAGCTGGCCAGACTTCGTGTCGCGTGCAGACAACCCCACCAGTGAAGGGGCCCTGGGACACACAAATAAATACACACACAAATAACAGGATTCCCCATATTTTCCTAAATTTTCTGGGTTTTTGTCTTCCCCCCAATTCCCATATGTTTCCATGTTTCCCTGGGAGTCGACGATGAATTGTGTCTGTGTGTTTTCCCCTCCTGAACCAGGCAGTCCCCCAGCTGGCCTCCACGCCTTTGCGCCGCTTCCCGGGGCGCCCCCGGGGCGCTCCGCGCCCCACGGGGCCGGTGTGCGGCGAGACTGCCCTGGGCTGCTCGGGGGGGGGGGCTCGTGGAGGCCAGCTGGGACTACAGTTGGGGCGTTGACCTGAGGAACCTAAAAGAAAGAACGAGGCCCTTTTTTTCCATGAGTTAACCTTCGATTTCCGGTAGAAAACACAAAGAAAACCTGAGGCAAGCTGCGAAACACTTAAGGAACGCGGGGCCCCTCCCCAGTGAAAAGGGTTCCTTGTTCAGGGCCCCGACTGTACTCTCTTGGGGCCTGCCGAGGCCACCTGGACGACCTGCGGAGGGGTGCCTCTGCGCAACGCTCATGCGGGCCCGGGGGCCATCGCCAACAGCGGTCTGTCTCGAAAAGGGCCGCAGGAGGGTGGGGCCGAGGGCTCCAGCCGAGACCTTTCGCGGGGAAAATCTGAGCAGCTCAGCCGAGCTCTTGGGCCCGAGCATGCCGAGCTCCTGCGAAAATTGAGGAGGGAGAGGGCAGGCAGGGCCGAGCCGAACTGAGGCAGGAGGGGTCGAGGACGAGAGGAGGAGAAGGAGGAAGAGGAGGAAGAGGAGGAGGAGGAGGAGGAGGAGGAGGAGGAGGAGAAGGAGAACGAGGAGATGGAGGAGCATGAGGAGGAGGAGGAGGAGGAGGAGGAGGAGGAAGAGGAGGACGAGGAGATGATGGAGGACGACGACGACGAGGAGGAGAAGGCTGTCGAGCAGGATGAGGAGAAGGATGAGGAGAAGGAGAAGGATGAGCATTCTTGGTCGCAACGTCGGATCTCATGGAAGAGCTGGGGCGCTCCAGAGAAGCGGCCTCTCGCCGTCGGCGCGCCTCGCCCAGGCTGGCCCGCTGTGTCGGAAGCCCGGCGGAGGCTCGGCGGACGTCTAGAAGCGAGAGCTCGGCATGCTTGGGCCCAGTGTTGGGCCCAATCGAAGGAGGGGGCAAGGATCCCAAGGATCCCTGACGGGCATGCTCGGGCCCAAAGATCCAGATCAAAGAAGGGGCATGCTTGGGCCCAAGCATCCCAAAATCGGCGGCATCGAAGCAGGTGTTGACATCCATGCCATACGTACCCGCCCAGCCGTCCAGATGTGGATACAGTCGGCACGTATCATAAGGATGCGCGATAAGGATGCAAGGGCCTTGGATGCGTATTTCGAAGCTTTTCGAGCGGGGCGCGGCCATCGCAAGTGGCGAAGGAGGGACCGAGAAGGCAAGGATGCAACGAGGAGGAGGGCCACGATGACGGTTTTTGAACGAGGTTGGCCAGCGACAGTCGCTCAGGATGCGCCGAAGGAGCAAGGATGCAAGGGTACCCTTGGGAAGGTTGCCCATCCTTACCATGCGAGTCGACTGTACGTCCCGTCCAGCCGCACTGATGTGGACAGAACGTCGATCGCAGAGCGTCTTCGGCGTGGTCCCTTTGGAGCGCCCCAACCCCTCCAGTGGGCAGGAGCCACGCCGCTTCTTCCAGTGGGGGACCTGCTGGGAAAAGCACGTCAAGGCCACGAGCTCTCCGTTGGGGAGGTTCCCATGCGAGGCTGGGATCTATCCGTATCCACCGCCTGCGAGCTGACGTCCTGGTGCCCAAGCGGGCGGTGGATACGGACACAGTTTGGCCCCCGGAGGCCCGAATATATCATACACACCGCCTGTGCAGGTCCGCGAAGATCGATCCCCCAGGCGGTGGTTATGAGTAAATCCCCGCCTCGGTCCCCTGTCCCACCGAGCCCTCGCGATCTTGAGGAGGGAGACGGGAGGCAGGGTCGAGCCGAACTGAGGCAGGAGGGGTCGAGGAGAGAGGAGGAGGAGGAGGAGGAGGAGGAGGAGGAGGAGGAGGAGGAGGAGGAGGAGGAGGAGAAGAAGGAGGAACAGAAGGAGGATGATGATGAGGAGGAGGACGAGGAGGACGAAGAGGACGAGGAGGACGAGGAGGAGAAGGCGGAGGAGGATGAGGGTGAGGAGAAGGAGGAGGAGGAGGAGGAGGACGAGGATGCGGAGAAGAAGGATCGGGACTGGACCCCCTCCTCCCTCCCCCTTCCAGCCACAACCGTCGAGGCTGGAAGAAGGCAGGGGGTCGAGTTTGAGAAGTCCTTGGCTGGACGCTGTTGGCCCGAAGAGGTTGCAGGGGGCGAAGTGGGAACCCTCAGATCCGACGTTGCTAAGAAAAACACAACAAAAACATCATGAACAATTGCAGACGTAGCCCTAGACCCAATCTCCCTGCTGCAATTTTCCAGCCGGGGCCTGAAAGCGAGCGAAACGCCCAGTGTGAAAAAAATGCAACGCGGGGATCTGAAGGGAGGCTGCATGGGGAAACTGGCAGGCACTGATACCGCTGCTCCCGGGACCTCCCACGGAGAGCGCTCTGACCAGCAGAACTTCGAAACGGCCTCCCAGGAAGCCCTAAAAGCGAAAACGCGGGAAAGGCAGCGGTACCAGTGCGGCAGGTTAGCTACGTGTCGACCCCGGCGTCGGCTCCTGACACCGCGGGCTCAAACTGAACGACCGACAGCTTCAGAAACGCCAGATCGCGCAACGATGGGCCGATTCTGGGCAACGTGGCGGCGTTCAACATCAAACGCCCGCGCTGGGGTCGTCGTCGATCGACACGACGCGAACCTACCGCACCCACTTCCTCACAAAGGAAAACATTGACCAGGGCCACCGACAACCATGGGGTGGAGACCGACCCTTGGGCGGTGGCACGCCGGAGCGTCGTCACGTGCTGGGTTACGCTGGGGCGTGGCGCCGCCCAGGGGTCGACTACCCACCGATGGGCTCTCGCTTCGGCGGCGAGCGATGGGGGCAAGTGAGAAGGAGAAGGCCTTCCCGGAAGGCGGCGGGAATCCTCAGAGAACGCTCGCGCCTGCTGGAGAGCTGTCGGTGCCTTCGGGGACGGCTCTGAACACTCCTCGGAGGGCCGGGGGGGCTGTCGAGCCTGCCGAGGAAGCCTTTTTGCTTCTCACTTCTTCCCTGGGCTCGCCGCCGATCTGTGGCGGTGGTCCGCGTGTCTCCCCTGAGTTCCTCCCCTGGCTGCAGGGGGTGGAATGTAGGAAGCACGAACGGCGACACCAGCACCACTGGGGCAAGGAGCTCCGAGCAGCAAGAGGGGGTCTCCATGGCGGTGTGCTCGCCCCCCCTATCCTCGCTGAAGACATCCTCCAGCCCCCAGCTCTGGGAGGCATCGTGGACGTCCTCGCTGCATGGCCCCCACCCCAACCCTGATGGGCCTGTTTCCCACCACCACCACCAGAAGTTGGAGGGGGAGGGGGTCCTCCTCCTCCTCCTCCTCCTCCTCCTCCTCCTCCTCTTCCACCTCCTCCTCCTCCCCCCCCTCCTCCTCCTCCTCCTCCTCCTCCTCCTCCTCCTCCTCCTCCTCCTCCTCCTCCTCCTCCTCCTCGAGCGAGTGCGCAGCGCGAAAGATGCGCCGCCACGCCGCCCAGCGCGGCGCGCAGCAGCGCCGGCGAGGGGCGCGGGCGGCGCGCGCGGGCGGCGGCGCCGACGGGGCGCGGGGCCCCATCGGGCGGAGGGCGCGGGGGGCGGGGGGGGAGCGCGGGAGGAGGAGGACGAGGGGGAGGAGGAGGAGGAGGAGGAGGAGGAGGAGGAGGAGGAGGCGAGGAGGAGGAGGGGAGGGGAGGAGGAGGGCGAGGAGGGGGAGGAGGAGGGCAGGAGGAGGGCCCCTCCCATCCAATGGATGGTGGTGGTGTGGTGGTGGAGGAGGTGGGGGAGGAGGAGGAGGGGAGGACGACGAGGAGGAGGAGAAAGAGGACGAGGAGGAGGGGGAGGAGGAGGAGGAGGGGGAGGAGGAGGAGGAGGGGAGGGCCCCCTCCCCATCCAATTTATGGTGGTTGTGGTGGAGGAGGAGGAGGACGACGAGGAGGGGGAGGAGGAGGAGGAGGACAGGGAGGAGGAGGTGCAGGAGGAGGAGGGCCCCCTCCCCATCCAACTTATGGTTGTGGTGGAGGAGGAGGAGGGGGAGCAGGAGGAGGAGGAGGACCGAGGAGGAGTAGGAGGACTGAGGAGGAGGAGGAGGAGGAGGAGTAGGAGGAGGAGGAGGAGGAAGGGGAGAAGGAGGGCGGGGAGGAAGGGGAACGGAATGGACAGGGGCGGCCCGCGCTGGACTAGTATGCCGAAGCTTCGCGTGGTGCCCGCCCGTGGGCGCCTCGTGAGCGACCCGCGCCGGGGTGTGTGTGTGTGTGTGTGTGTGTGTGTGTGTGTGTGTGTGTGTGTGTGTGTGTGTGTGTGTGTGTGTGTGTGTGTGTGTGTGTGTGCCGAGGTCTCGCCTGGTGCCCGCCCGTGGGCGCGGCCTGCGCTGAGGAAGGGTGCGCTGAGGCCTCGCCTCGTGCCCGCCTACGATCGCCCCGTGGGCGCGGCGCACGGGGGGGGGGGGCGGGGATGCCGAGATTCTCCGTGGAAGAGGGGGGGGGGAATGGGATGTGACAGGGATCGGCCTGAACGGTGTGTTTCGTTTGCGTTGTGTGCTCGTGGTCCCCAGATGCTTGTCTCTCCAACCCGCTCCTGGTACAAAACGAGATCGACACGGAAACGGCTCACGAGATCGCGAAAACATAAGTTAGGTCGACCCTTTGTGGGGGAGAGGGGGGCAAGGAATGGACTGGACTGGAACTTAAGACGGCCGGCCGAGACGCCGCATTGTCGCCGCGGCGGCTTCCCAGACTACTCATAGCTCGAGGACGAACACATGCGCGAGCACGCCGTAAGAGGGAGGGAGGGGCGAAGAGGGAGGGAGGGAAGGAGAGCGGGAGGG